CCAGACGCCCTACGCCACTGTCGGGGACATCGTCTCGGACCTGCGCGCGGTCGACCGCTCGCTATTCGCCCCGTGGCAGAAAATAGAGGTACTGGGGACCTTCATCCTACCTAGATTAGACTTTCTGCTATGGGGGGCCAGGGTGTTTAAAGGTCCCCTCAAGGCCGTCGACTTGAACATCCGTCGACAGTCAAATCCTGGCTCAACCTCCCTCAGCGAGCCAGTGCGGAGGTAGTCTACATGCCACCTCGTTTGGGGATGTGGACTTTTGCCGCTCTCGGACCTCGCCGACGTCCTCACGGTAGCCCACGCGTACCGTAGGTTCCCGATGGCGCTGTGAGGGAGTTGGCGTGGGAATCGCTGAGGGGAGTGGTTGGGCGCAGGATCGGCCACGCTCCTAATTGCGAGGATATCGCCTCCTTCCTATCCGGTTCGCTGGATGGAAGGATGAGGGGCAGAGGGGAGGCTTCGCTCTGGTCGAGTGCGCAGAACGCCGCGCTCAGACAGTCCGGGAGGTTGTCCTTGCGGTGGCGGTGGGCTGAGTCCACTAAGGAAATGGAATTGCAATGCCACGGTCCCAGGGGGGCAGCGATTAAGATTCCGACTGGAGCGCGCGGCCAGATAGTGAATCGGTTGCGCTCAGCTGTAGTAGAGCACTACTCCAACAGGTTGCTCAGCAAACCTGACCAGGGTAAGGTCTTCGAGGTGTCGTCACGGAGTCGGGTGAGCAATCACTTTATCCGTGGCGGCAGTTTCACTCGCTTCGCTGATTGGCGCTTTGTGCATAAGGCCCGCTTAGACGTACTCCCTCTCAACGGTGCATGACGTTGGGGGACAAACGATAAACGCTGTCGGCGATGCGGTGAAGCATCGGAGACTTTACCTGATGTGCTCTGCCACTGCGGTATCCATTCCGCCGCAATACAGCTGAGGCACAATGCTGTCCTGCACCGCCTCTGGAAAGCCACTCGCCTTCCAGAGGTAGTGCGGGTTAACCAGCGAGTGGAGGGCGTCAGCGGCGATTTGGCGGCGCTACGACCTGACTTTGTGGTCAGGCACGGGTGGCACCTAGTTGGACACGGCTCAATTGGACACGAGCCACTCACAGCACTTGAGACTACAAAGCTCTTAAGCACCGGTCGCTGTGATTGGTGGTGTCCAATCGAGCCATGATCAATCGGGATCACCCCGTCAGGCACGAGCCCTCCAAAAGTGTCGTCATATGTGACGTCACGGTACCCTTTGAAAATAGATGGGTATCATTTGAAGAAGCCAGGGCGAGGAAACTCGATAAACGCCCTGGCCGAAGAATTACACCGACAAGAGTATCGTGTCGTCGTGACGGCCTTCGTCGTCGGCGCCCTCGGCTCGCGGGATCCGAGAAATGAGGCGGTGTTGAGACTGCTGAGGGTTACGGCCCAATATGCCTCAATGATGCGTCGTCTCATCGTCTCGGATACCATTCGCTGGTCACGAGACATACGTGGAGCACGTGTCCAGCACCCGCTAGTACCTTGCTCCTTTCCGTCCCTCTGGGGATCTTCTTTCGGCGCCGCCAACAGCGGTTCGTCGATGCTGGCTCGCCGAGGAGAGGTCAGCGCAGGATGCGGCGCGTCGCGTCTCGAACGTTGTGAGTGTCGTGTAATTTGTTTTGTCTTTGTCTTGGCCTCCCCTTTTCAACTTAGCAGAGAGAGTGTCCCAATGTTCAATTAATTATTTAATTATATCTGTGATATTGGCGCTATTCGCCTATTTTATTATATATACATTTTGAATTTTAATATATATTACTTGACTATTGGACGGGACGCCTTTCTGTTGGTTTTAACTACTTATTTATTTTATATACTATTGTATTTTTGCTGTTTTATAGCTATGCCATCTTATTCTCTGACTCTTTCTACTCTATTTTTCTTCTACCTTCTTTCTTCTATCTTCTTTTTTCTTTTTTCTTTCTCTTAAGTACTATTGTACTCTCTTTTCTTTATTTTTTAGCCTTTTACTTATTTTATTATTTATTCTAACTGTTTGTGGGGCCCTGACTGTCCGAGTGTGTATGTCGCGTATCGATATTTTTGTATTTTACTCGTGTGCGAGTGTGCGCGATTTACACATATTAATTTTAATTTTTAATTTATTATTATATATTTTGCTGCGCGCGCTCCTCCGGGACTTTTATATTTTGACGACACTTCTGTGATATCCCGGAGGAGCAATAATTTGTGATAACGTATCCCCCCAGCTTGCGTGTTGGGAGTATGAAATATACTGTGATAGCGATGCGTGGACTGGGGGCAGCGTTGCCAACCTCCGCATTATTAAAAATCGTACCAACAATACAAAATTATCGTATTTTGATTAAAATTATCGTACATTAGCTTATTTTTTGTATTACCCCAGAGAGGTATTGTCTCTCTAAGGAAATTGCTTGATTAATAAAAGTGAGCTTATCTGAACACAGCCTAGGATGTATGCATACACACCGCTATTAATGGAGGAGTGAGATAGTCTATACTCCTTTCTCGCTTGAAGAAATTTGACGAGATCGATGACCAGTCTCTGATTAAAGATTCTCTAGTGCGGACAACTTTCGCCGCGCAGCAAGCTTTGCCGCGGTCTGTTAAAGTCACTAGATTAAAATATCGCGATGAAAAAAATTCACTGAATTAGGGCCGTCCCATGAGCGGAAATTTATAGCGGAACGGAACACACACACACACACACACACACACACACAGCGAGATCAATCACAATCGTAAAAAAGAAAGCAGAGTAATGACTGCAGAGTTGTGATTGGTTGCGCTGTTCCGTTCTGTCTCGTCAGAACACTCGAGCGGATCAGACGTGTTCCCTCTCGTCTCGGGTATTGTGTCACCTCGATTATATTTTTTGAAAAGCGTTGCCGGCTTTGACTGTGTCGTGTATTTCATTTTTTACAGTCCCTTTATCCGTCTTGGCGCGCGGCCGTGCGGCATGGAAGCGCCGTAGTCGCAGGCGTCCAGTGTTTGAAGTGGCGCCTCATCATCTTAATTTTGATTGCATCATCCTTTGTTCTACTCGCCCGGTTCAAAGTGGCCGGTGCATTGTATTCTATTTAGGAAAGCAATTTTGCTTTCCACCCTTTTTTGAGAAATTCTTGTGGAAGATTGGAGAGGTATCGGATAAGACTGGCCACATGAATCCAACTACATTGGAACCTGGGCCATACAAATATAGAAGAAGAAGAAGAAGAAGAAGCTGTTCCGTTCCGCAGTAAGAGTGACTGTTACCAACGCCGATTAACTTAATCGACGATTAACTCAATCAGCAGTATAGTCAACAGCAAGACTGTATATCGTTCTTAACCTTATCTCTTCGTGATATACATCTATTTCTGCATTTTTATACTTACAGTGATAAAAGTAATAAAAATCTTCTGTCTATAATAGTAATTCTGCTGATTGAGTTAATCGTCGATTAAGACAACAGTCGCCCTAAATTTTCGCTCATGGGATGGCATCCTTAGCATTTGGAGTAAAAATGACGTCGAAGTGCTATCCTAACCTGATTCTGTTAAAAGGTCAGAAATCCATACAGGGGTCTGGAAGAAGAAAAACCTGATTCTGTTATCGAAAATGCCCGATTGCTGTGTTGAAAATTGCAAAAACCGGAGGTTTTATATTTTTTATATTTTGACGACACTTCTGTGATATCCCGGAGGAGCAATAATTTTCACAAATTATTACTCCTCCGGGATATCACAGAAGTGTCGTCAAAATATAAAAGTCCCGGAGGAGCGCGCGCAGCAAAATATATAATAAGCCTAAAGAGGCTGAAGTTTTGAATAACCGCTCGTCATGGAGCCAAAATGGCGGCAGTTCGCGGTACTTTATTAATCTAATGACTTTAGGCCGGAATCAGACTACGCATTGAAGAATGAGATTGAAGATTGAAAGATTAAAGTTTGACCAATCAGAACAAAAGGAGAATTTCTCTGTCCTCATTGGTGAAATTTCAATCTTTAATCTTCAATCTCGATCTTCAATGAATAGTTTGATTCCGGGTTCTGTGTGCAGGGGATCGATTCTGTATCTTCAATCAAGGTGAAAATTACAAAAGTGAGCAAATTTACTAGGTATTGACCAATGAAATTATCAGTATTCTAGTAAATTCACTCACTTTTGTAATTTTCACCTCGTTTCAAGATGCAGAATCGATCCCTAGGAGGAAAGGTTGCTGATGAAGAGTCAAACTATGAGTAGAAACGTTCAAAGCTAAGGTTTATATTTTTAGTTAAGAAAAATTGCGCTAATTGATAACCAGCGTCAACTCCTATTGCCTGTAATACATATTTTATGGTTTTAATAATTGTTTTAATTAAAGGAGTCTATACAAACTTATTAGTTTTTTATTAATTTGTAATTTATCACATTAATTTATGTTGCGCGCCATTTTTAAATAAAGACAATTTGATGAAACAAAATGAGGAGATCGCTTTAAAACACTTGTAAAAATCGATGAAAAATGTTCCATCCTTCCAGGACAGTAAATGGTCGTAAAATGCACGTAAAGTGAACCTAAATTCGGGCAGTAACAAATGGTCTGACAGATGTTGAAACGAGTAAAACGTACGTTTTTACATATAAAATTCCAAGATAACTTTAGTTCTCATCGATAATTACGACTTTGAGAAGTACGAGACAAGTCACATTTTCACAATTAAACAAATAATAACGAAATGGCATGCAATATAAATTTCGTCATCAAAACGTCACTTTTCCACGCCTACAAATTTAGCCATTTATCGTGGTGCGGTGCTGTAACACTACGCTGTAACTACGTTGAATGTACGACTATCGATTTCGCTAGACCGCCGTCTGAGGGTCCGCACACAAAGATGGTCGGAACTGTTTCCGATTGAGTGGTAATTGTAAGTCATTGTCGTAGATCAACGCACAATGATTTTACGTAAACGACATTGTGCGTAAAATCATTGTGCGTTGACTTACGACAACGACTTACGATTACGACTCAGTCGGAAACATTTGCGACCATCTTTGTGCGCGGACTCTGACTTTGTATCGCTACCGTCAACGTAGAGTTATTGGCTGAGTAGTAAGGAGCCTTAAAGAGCAAACCTATCCCTTACTTTTAATAACATTTTGTTATTTTTAACTTCAATATGTGTCAAAATGAATCCATTTTTTAGTTTCAAAGTAAAGCGTTCATATTAATGTTTGAACTTATTGTTGCTATATAATAAATTGAGTCAATTTTAACATTTTCAAGAGTTAAGTTGTTTAACCACAGTGTTATAGTAAAATTAACGACATATTGAGTACGAGCAAGGCCGATATACAGAAATGATTAAACAATAAATAACTCAAAATGAATATAATACAATACTATGAATTTAACATATTGTATTCTTTTATATGTATTTTTAGGATATTTGTACGTTTCATAACACCAGCTACAAAACCCTTATAAATTATTTTCAATTCTATATGCCAAAACGTACTGAACTTATTTTGCAGAATATTTGTAGTATGATAATAGGATACAGATCATATGATAGTAGAATATTGGCAGTACGATAAGGTATGATATTAGAATATTGATAATATGAAATAACTTTTAAAAACTCGCTTTTGTTATATGAAATAAAAAATTTTTGAAACTTTTTCTAGCTTATCCTTACGTGTGGCGTTAGAATGTGCGTACAAGTATTCTAAAATATATAAAAGAGTAATACAATTGTTATGTAATATTCCAATTTTGTACACACTCATTCAATGACATATATGTTGATATCCAGATTTTTAGTCTAGTAAAATTACGAATAAGAAATTAAAATTCTAAAATTAAATTTTATTGTAATTATTTACCTGTTTACGTAAATCCTCATCGAGATTATAACTGGACAATTTGTGAAGAATTGCTACTGTCTCGTTTATCTGAAATTATATCAGCATAAAACGAAAGTTTGTAGTAAATCTGAGAACTTTGCATTCAATGAATAAAATTTCAAATAAAACTTTGACATATGTAATTTTATTGTTGCTTGTGCTTATTATTCTAGTAATAACTAGTTATTAATTCATTTGATCTATTATAATATATACCTCATTATAAACAGTTTGACATATGTAGTGTAATGTGAGAAATAAAATGGTCCCCGAAACGAAATTAAAACACTCACATAAACAAACGAAAGTATCAATAAATTCCCATATATACGATGATTCCCATATATATGATGTTTAATCATATTATACATCATTTGACAGACAGCTAAAGCTTTATAAAAGTACCATACCATTTGTATTGACACTTGTACTTGCAATACTTTGTTTAGTTTGCGTGATATAAGGCATAGCTGTAGGTGAACGTGCCTGTAAATAAATTGTAATTGTTATAATTGATCAAACCGAAAGACATACACTAAGAAAATTATATTTTTAACATAGAATTCGATATAAACTATAGTGTTTTATTACTTGCGGTTCACAACGTATAATTATATCACCTAATTGAAATTAATTAATCTTATTTCATTATAATCATTCGAGATTATTACTAAGGAGTAGATAATTGCTAATCACACCTTTAATCTGAGGATGAAAATCATTTAAACGATATGACATACTATGTTTCCATGGGTCTTGCAGTTGACGAAAATCATGATACTTCGATAATTCATCTTAACTAATTTTGACAGCGATATGTATATTGACATTTTGAGTGATTTTAGTCTGTATAAGTTCATTGCAAAATTTTTCATAATTAAATGTAATACTATTGAGAATGGTCTGATGACAGACCGAAACGTTTGGTTTGTAATATAATTTATAATAAATATGGATTATTCTATGATCCTGCACTAAATTCAGCTAGTGTACGTGGAAGAAGCCGTTTAATTATTTTATAGTTATTTTTAATACTTTTTGAACATATTCTGCTACATCGTTTTTTTTAAGGGGGTACTCTACTCTAAAACACGCTTTTTTCGGGATTTTTTTACAAGAAACTAGTGAAAATTGTTAATATCAGCTTTTTATGTATATATTTTATTATGTTTAGAGAACATAAAAAATATTTTTTAAAGCTAAATTAATGAATATAAATATTAATTAAACCCTATCGAATACATGGTAAAAAAAAA